GGAACCGTACGATAACTGCAATCGTGGGCTGTCAGCGTACAGCGAATGAGGGTGCGTCAAGTCCGTAGACTTGCATTGGTTTCCATCGTAAATATAATTGTTAACTAATGCCTTCCTAAAGAAACCATCGACAGGGGACCAGGTTTGTTCCACTCTACGAATTTTTTGCGATTTTTACACCAAGTTTGATGAAAAACGATTGTGCCGTTTCGGCAGCACAGACAGACAGACAGACAGACGGATAGTGCTATAGTATATTAGATTGTTTGCATATATATATATATATATATATATATATATATATATATATATATATATATATATATATATATATATATATATATATATATATATATATATATATATATATATATATATATATATATATATATATATATATATATATATATATATACAAGCAGCAACACTGGACGCCACACTGGGGCCTGTAAGCTCATCGAAATTAAACTGGAGAAAAATCGCCTATGGTTGCCATGCCGTCATCATGTGCATGAGGTTGTGATCGGTGGAGTATTTGACCGTGTAATGGGTCCATCAACTGGGCCAGATATACTTGTTTTTAAGAGATTTCAAGCATTTTGGCCCAACATTGTGCAGAGTGACTACAGTACAGCTGCCACTGATCAAGAAATGGATTTGGTTGTGACTGAAAATCGAGAAGGTCTGCTGAAAAATGCATTGAGCTTCCTTAATGATAATCAGCCACGGGAAGACTATAGAGAATTACTCGAATTGGTTGTTATATTCCTGGGAGGAACTCCACACCGCAAGATATCTTTCAGGAAGCCTGGGGCCATGCACAGAGCCAGGTGGATGGCAAAGCTGTTGTATTCCTTCAAAATATGGATGTTCCGGTCACAATTCAAGTTGACAGCCCGAGAAGTCAAAGGACTCGGTAGGGTGGTTCGATTTGCTGTCCTTGTATACTTTAAAGCATGGTTCCTGGCTACTTTGCCAGTTCAAGCTCCAGCAAATGACCTGCTCTTCCTGAAGAAGATTTCTGACTACACAAAAGTTGACAAGGAGGTTTCAGAAGAGGCTTGCCGCAAATTTATCAATCATCTGTGGTACCTCAATGAAGAAGTTGTTGGCTTTGCCTTCTTTGATATGAATGTTGGTGATGAAACAAAGCAGAGGATGGTGGACAGTCTAAAAAAGGCTCAAAATGGTAACCGCATGAAGGCAGTGGTTAAGCCTCAAGACGTGAATGACATTCACCTTGAAGATTTTGTGTCTTCTGCAACAAGTAAATTTTTTGACATGCTCAATCTGCCAACTGACTTTCTACAGTTGTCCCCATCTTTGTGGCAAACTAATGCAGGTTATTGCAAAGCACAAAAGAAGCTCAAGACAATGAAAGTGGTTAACGATGTGGCTGAGAGAGGTGTGGCACTCATCCAAGATTACATCCATGTAATAACAAAGGATGAGGAACAACGCCAATTTCTACTCCAGGTGGTCAGTGATCATCGAAAGAACTTTCCAAACTCTCTAAAAAGGACTGTAATAGAGGCACTCAAGAAGAATGACCTGTGTTGCTAAATTTCATTGATTTTGCTGTATTACAACTATTAACAACTAACTGTATTGATATTGACTATGTATTGTATACGATTTACACATTTACCGGTACTTGTTCAATATAAAAACTAGATAGTCTTTGTGGCACCTCTAAATTTTATCAAAATTTTTTAAAAAATGACAGATCATTGTTTTAATAGTATACACACACTTAGGCAGGGTGGTCGTTGAAATTTAAACCAAAAAAAATTTCGGGACCACCCTAATATATATATTTATATATATATATATATATATATATATATATATATATATATATATATATATATATATATATATATATATATATATATATATATATATATATATATATATATATATATATATATATATATATATATATATATATATATATATATATATATATATATATATATATATATATATATATATATATATATATATATATATATACATGTAATCTTGGATAAGATATCTTGATAAAATCACACGGGAAAAGGGAAACAACGGAGCACCTTAGCTTTCGTCTTTATTCAAGACATCTTCAGAGGCAACTGGATTACATGGACAGAGAGAGGCTTAAATATACAGGGTGACCTTAAAAACATGAGGTCAGGTCATAATGATGTCATCCACTGATCCCCACACCAACACACACGTAGAGGAGCTTAAGAGAAGGGGGGTGACGTGACTAGTCAGGTCAGGTCAAAAATATGGGACCCACTAAATAACTATCATACATCTAGATCAAAGGTTTTCAAAGCATTTTTAACCTTGGGCCACTGATAAATAAATTTATGTAACATATTATCAGTTTTGAACTGACCATAACTAAGGTTTATTGATTTTAATTTCTTAATCAAACTAGCTTCAATCAGAAGTCTTTCTGTGACACAAGATGATTTAAATACTTCTAAGTTTTTATCCCAAGCAATGGGATGATTATTATTCCTAATATGAACGAACAAGGCACTGCTTTCAGATGCTGTTCTGATATTGTACTTATGTTGTTTGATTCTGAGCTGCAGTGTTTTTCCTGTCTGTCCTACATAATTACAATTACATTTGCTACATGGAATACAGTATTCACTTCCATTTACATTCAAACTTGGGCTATTTCATATTAACATATTGGTAATGGTTGAGTCATACTTGAAAACAACATTAATATTTAGTAGCTTGAGGGACCGAACTAACGGGACAAATTCATTACAATAGGGCAGTCAAAATATTCTTAAGTGTAGGAATTTGCCTGGTTTGAGAGGAATGAAAGGATTTCTTAGCCCTTTTAAAACAACGATCAACAAACACAGAAGGGTACCCGAGTTTCTGTGCAATGGAACGAATGTGTTTCAATTCATCGTCAATAAATTCAGAGTCACAAATACGCAGACATCTTAAGAACATAGCAGAAAAAACTGACATTTTGGTAGACTCCAGGTGATTCAATAAAAAGTGTATTTAACTGTCTACCTGTGTGGGCTTTCTGTATACCTTAAATTTGTAGTTTTGGCCATTTCTCATGATAAGCTCACAATACGTGCTTTCATCACTAAGTAATAAATGGATCCCTTCCATTCCTTGATATGCTTATCATGAGAAATGGCCAAAACTACAAATTTAAGGTATACAGTTTTAGGATGACCTCGTTATTCTTGTAACTAACACTCCTTTGTATGAACCCAAGTACTTTATTAGCCTTGTTACGAGCAAAAACACATTGTTTACTTGGCTTAAGGTTCCTACTTATCATTTCTCCTAAATCTCTCTCGCAGTCGGATTTCTCTATGGCATCGTTGTTCATCTGGTATCTGGTTTCCCTGTTTACATCTCCTATACTGAGCACTTTACATTTGTCCACGTTAAATTTCATCTGCCATTTTTCAGACCATTCGAAGAATTTGTTTAGATCTTCCTGTAGTTTTGCGGAGTCCTCGTCAGATTTAATAACACGTCCTATTTTAGTGTCATCAGCAAATTTACTTATATTGCTGTCTATGCTGAGAACACAATGTGGATCAGCACTGTGTCAAACCGTCTTTCCTCAAACGCTGGAAACTTGCTTGCATCCTCTCTTGTGAACACTAAGGAAAAGAATTTGTTCAATGCCTCCTCCTTGTCCTGGTCTGAATCTGCGTAACTACCATCTTCAAGCCTCAGATCCGATACGCCTACTCGCGTAACGGTAGAATGTGTTTGGGTTTGACTTGACCTCCTTTGCCATCCGCCACTGGAATTTTTTTCAGCCCTTCTGTATTCTGACTTTACTTAGTTCCTGGACATGGCATACATCCCTCTGTCTTGCTTTTGGTTTTTCCTAAGCCACGTCTCAAATTTTTTAGATTTTTTCTTAACTTTGTCAACTGCCGTATGAATCATGTGTAACGGTCTCCTTGCATTCCTGGAGCTAATGGGTTTGGTCTTGGGCAAATATTTATCGAAAAAATATTTCACTTTACTAGCTATGATATTCAGCGAAGTGTCTGCGTTCTTATATCTTAGTGAGTCAGGCCAGTGAATATCCCCCATCGCCTACCTCATCCGTCGTAATTGCACTTTGTAATCTTTGAACCTTGGCCTGCTTTTGTTATGAACCAAGTAACAGTTTCAGACAGCGTTACGTGGTGACTGGTGCCAACAGGGGCTAGATGGTCCAACTTGGCTACCATACCCTCCTTGTTAGTTATGATGAGGTCCAGCGGTTTGGGTGTTTATTCCCCTATATTATGAATCGAATCTTAAACATGTTGGAGTAGCGGGGTTATTAAGGTCATTTTGCGTGGTTTCGTTTCTCTAATCGATGTCGCCATAGTTATGGTCTCCCATGACAAGGAGGTTGCTAGGGTTGAATACCGTTGCGTTGTTAATTAAGTCTCTTATGTTCCTTTGGTTTAATAAGCTACAGTTTGGGGATCTGTGGATATATCCATGAAGGGGCGTGGCCTATGCTCGTGTCTTTGCCCTAGCCTCCTCACATCATGATGGAGAGCTGGAAAGTTCAGATAGTCTGCACAAATATTCTAACACTCCACCTTATCATGTGTTTTCTTACTTTCAGCAATCTTGAAGGGGTAGGGAAGGGGGGATGTGCGAGGTATGCGTTTGTCCAATTTTAATGGCAAGACTCTATAACAATCTTCTTAGCCTTAAGCCCAATTTACGGTAGGATGTAATTCTACTATATGCTTAAAAAATCCAGCAGATGCAGTGGTTAGACCCATTCAAGCATTCATGTCCTTGTATACCACCGTGCAGTTATCCACTCTAACTTCCTTCTTATCTCCCTTAACTTTCAGTCCCACTGTATAGAATAGATCGTTTTTGGCATCCATCTTCCTCTCCTTCTATTCAACAACCCATGCACATTCTCACGGTCATCCTGTAAATCCTTTCACTATCCATATACTTACTGCGCTAACTTCGAATTAATATTTCAGTGGTAGAGCAGCAGGCAAAAGAGATGAAGGGCCAAGGGACTCATGCGACATCCAAGAGCCAAATCAAGGAAGAATACGTGAAAACAGCACTGAAGGTGGATAAGGGCAGCGACGCTCAACTCATATCTTGGGTAACTGAAGACTTTACTCAAAAAGGCGAACATTTTGCCTGCATCGTTACAAGTATAAAAGTAAAATATCGTCAAGGAGGAATTGAGAACAATATCACTTATGTAGTCAAGTTGAACCCACAACGAAACATGAAGGAGCTTAGGGAATATGTCCGCTTAAACTTCATAAAGGAGGTGGGGTATTACCAGGACTTAGTACCTCTCTTTAACGCCGAGCTTCAAAATTTTGGAATAGAACCTTTGCGGATGCCTACTTGTCTTTTTGTACACATGACCGAGGGCGAAGAGGTGATGATATTAGGAGACTTACGCCCAGAAGGCTTCAAGGTACTTGACCGTAAGAAGGGAATGGAAAAGGAACATACCATCATGGTAATGAAAGAAATGAGTAAAATTCACGCAGCATCAACTTTAGTCGAGAAAAAAGCAGAAGAAGCTTTAGAGCTCAAGCACAAGTACCTACTAGTAGATATGTCTAGTATGAAACAATTTGACAAATTTTTTACGGGGAGCATGAGGAGCGCGGCAGACTTAGCAGAAAAAGTCGGGGGTTATGAGAGACATGCAGCCTGGTTTCGAAACTTTGCTCCAAAGTGTGGTGACGCATTCAAGGAACAGTTGAAGAGGAGTCCACCTTTTGATGTTGTGTGTCATGGTGATTGCTGGACCACCAACGTCTTATTCAGGTAAAAAAAAAAAATCAGCTTTTACCAGACAAATGTAGCATTCTCTCTAAAATTAACTTGCCTTTTTAATATTTTCAAGACTTTAGTCATATTCATTACCGGAGTACAAAAGACAACCACTAAACTAACAATTAATAAACAAAGTGAAAATGTGTTCATTTAGGTTATTGGGATTAGCAACTTCACCTTCAAGGACTCCTGGTAGATGGAGGTCATGAGTCACTAAATTGTCGTATCTCAATATTTTTCTGTTCCATTATTTGTGAACTTAAGACGAACAAACTTACCACCAAGGTCCAGACTCTCGTGTTTTCCTAGTCGTAATAGGAAAACTGACGGTCGAAGTCGTCCGAGATCTGATAGGTCACAAACACAAACCAAGTTTCATTGAAACCCATTCCAATTTGCTCCAGTATTGAATTTACAAGATATACACGGGTGTTGCGGCAACTTCTCCGCAAATAAATTTACTTTAACGTGGCATTTGGACTTGCAGTCTTTAAACACGAGGTTAGATATTTTTATCGTTTACATCTTCAACACAAATTTATTTTGTAAAATATTCATGACACCTGTTGAATTTTCAGTAATAAGAATAAATCGTTTTAGTTTCTTCATTCATACATATACAAACAACCAGACAGATTCGTGGCACAACAATAAATCCGGACTTTTTACTTTTCGACCGGTAGGACTGAGAGGAGCAATAACTCAGCAAGAAGTTGACATTAAGTGATTATAAAATCTTGCCGTCTAAAATCTCAAGTTCTTATCCATTGCAGGTACGACGAGAGCGGTGCCCCAGTAGACTTGAGACTCCTGGACTTCCAGGTATGTCGTAAAGCCTCGCTAGCCACAGATCTCAACTTCTTTATGTACACCAGCCTAACAGGTGACCAGAGGAAGGAAAATCTTCATGTGTTCTTAAAAGCGTATCACGACTCCTTCAGGCAGGTGATGGAAGGTGCCGGATTCCCAATGCCATTCAGTACTGAGGAACTTCTGCAAGAGTATCATAAAAGGAACCTGTTTGGCTTTATCATGGGATTAATTGCCGTCCCCATTCTTTTAACCATGAGCAAAGAGGCACTGGATCTAAACAGTGTAAAAGATGAGAACATAGAAAATTTCGTCAGTGACCAGAAGAACAAAAATTTGAAACAGTTGGATAGTAACCCACTTCTGCGTCCTCGACTTCTTTCACTGTTTGATGACATGGTTGAGTTTGGCATAATTTCCTAGACATAATTCTTTAGTGAAGTCTACCTCGGGTTGATATAGGTCAAGAACCCCGACCCCCCCACCCCCCAAAAAGTGCGTATGTCATATATTTTGAAGGCAAAAAACCTAAAATCAATTTATTTATGTTATAACTAGTAATATAATCTGGGCCATTGAAAGTTAAACGTAAGTTTGATTGTTACAGCATCAGGAAGATTTTACTGAAGAACTATAAATTGTAATACTAATTTCACCAAATTTACAAAATGTCATCACACTCACATACACACACGGGGATTATTGGTGTAAAGGTGCAATTTAAGATGAAAATTGACAAGTAGAATATTTTTCATACAAACAAAAGAATACCTCACCTATCATATCCATAATAAACTTTTAATAATCCATTATTACTACTATTATACTGAATTTTACAACAAAATAAAAACCAAAAGATACTAAATACACGAGAAAATTACGAAAAGATGTCAAAATCATAGAAAACGCCCAAGATGTTGCTAGAAATGGAACTGAGAACCCTAAACGACAAAACATAGCGCCATGATGAGTGGAGGCGGCCCAGCTACTGAGTACACTAGACTCTAGTCTAGAAGTTTAGTGTCTAGACCCAAGTGCACTTATTAGCTAACGCTACTGAACGTCCCAAGAGACAAGAGCTGAGCATTACCTTAGAAACCACAGGAATGTTTTCTACTTAAAAGAACTGTTTACCGTTAGAGTCAGTAACATGATAGACCAGTGGTTCTCAACCTTGTTTGCCCCATGCACCCCTTTCACCATATGTCAGAATGTCATTCCCCCCTCCTTTCCAAGATTGTCTGCCTCAAAAAGTGCATTCCAAATAATATGCATATAATACTGAAAAACCTTTATTTTTTCCATATTAGTACATATACATTTACAATTTTACATGGATTATTTTTATAGTGGAGTTTTACAAATTAAATGCCAATTGAAAATGTTGATGGATTTATAAAACTTGAATAAAAGTAAAATAGTTTTTTATATTTATAATGAATTACTTAACAGACCAAACTGAAGCATAATGCAATAAACAAAAAGTTCAATAGAATACCAGGATATTGTAAATTTGTAATTAATTTTATTCAGATGAAGATTACAGTCAATGAGAAACCTGTGATTGTTTTTCTTCGCCAATTCTGGGATACGCGGAGGAGTGCTTGAAAGGGCACAACGCAGGTCATTTTCTACCTCTAATCTACTACGTTGCTTCGTTTTAATTTGCAACAGAGTTGAAAAGCCTGACTCACAAAGAAATGTCGACACAAACGGAAGCAATGCACGGGTAGCTCTTTCTGCCACTTTTGGGTAGGAATCGCACATCAAGGGCCAAAATTCTGTGATTGATTTCTCATCGAACATATCTCTTGCTCCCGAATCAGTTTCCCCCTCCCCCTGAAAACCTGAATTCCCCCCCTGGGGGGAATTCCCCCCTGGTTGAGAACCACTGTGATAGACCATCTATTTTTGTGAAATGATACACAATATTAAAAATATCTAAAAATATCTCCATGTAATAAATTAGAGTATTCTAAGCATATTTTTGTTAATATTTATTTAACATTCAGGGCCTTTCTTAAATGCCTAATAACTTGTAAAAATTATGATTTTTCTTAATTTTAAAGAACATTTTAACCCCTTTAAAATCAATTTGTAAACTCCTTGTGGCGCTGTGGTCGTCATCCCTGTTCACACGCAGAGGTCCAGAGTTCGATTCCTAACTAGTGAGGTATTATTTGTATATGGAAGTCCGCGTGCTATATATATATATATATATATATATATATATATATATATATATATATATATATATATATATATATATATATATATATATATATATATATATATATATATATATCAACAGTTCATACACACACAGACTTCCATATACAAATAATACCTCACTAGTTAGGAATCGAACCCTGAACCTCTGCATGTTAATAAGGGGTCGCTGCCACGGACAGCAAAATCAATTCTAGGCTTTCTTTTATTTCACAAAAAGCCTGCTCATTCGTCTTATTTTTAAGCAACGCGAGCCTCTACCGGGAATTGCATGTGCCAACTGTGTGGTCGTAGTAGCATTTTACCGACTCCAGCTAGGAAACACGAGGCTACAAATATATCTCAACAGTACACACACACACACACACAGTACAGTCAGTACTCACCCCTGAAGATGTGAATTACACGAAAGCGGTTGGGAACTTCGTGTTTTCTTGTTTCCTTGTGGTTATCAGCATATACTTGAATCACGCGCACCTACAGTGATTTACTTGCACATACTGTATATGTATATATATGTATATATATATATATATATATATATATATATATATATATATATATATATATATATATATATATATATATATATATTTATTTATATTATCATGTAGATCCACAATGGAAACGTGAATAAGATAGATCTTGATAAAATCAGGTAGGGAAAAGGATTATGCGTTACTAACAATGTTTTTAGAGCAAATGGAAGGTTTTACAAACAATTATTTGGCATGAGCATGGGTAATTGTCTTGCTGCTCCTTTAGTCTGTATTTATATGGAGTTTTTTGAGACTAGATTACTACTCAATATAGGGGACTTTATTCCTCCATGGTATAGATATGTAGATGATGTGCTTTGTCTTTGGCCTAGAAACAGTGACCCAATGGATTTCTTAGACAAGCTTAATTTTCTTGTCCCTAATATTACCTTCAAAATTGAAAGACACATAAATGGATCCCTTTCATTTCTTGATATGCTTATCATGAGAAATGGACATTACTATAAATTTAAGGTGTACAGAAAGCATACATTTTTTATCGCGTCACCATGAGTCTACCAAAATATAAATTTTCTCTGCTATGTTTTTGAGATGTTTGCGTATATTTATTGAAGAAGAACTGCAACACATTCAGTCTATTGCACAAAAACTTAGGTACCCTTCATTGTATGTTGATCGTTGTTTTAAAAGGGCTAAACAATCCTTTTTTTTCTACTTAAACTAGGCAAGTTCCTACATTAAAGAGTTTGTTCCGTTAGTTCAGTCCCTTAAATTATTAAACATTAATGTTGTTTTTAAGTAGACTCAACTATTTCTAATATATTAATTAAGAATAGCCTAACCTTGAATGTAAATGAAAGTGTATAGTGTATTCTATGTAGCAATTGTAATGGAAATTATGTAGGTCAGACTGGGAAAGCTTTGCAACTCAGAATTAAACAGCACAAGTACATTATTAGAACGGCATCTGAAAGCAGTGCACTTTTCGTTCATGTTAGGAACAATAATCATCCCAAAGATTTGGAAAACAGTTTAGAAGTGTATAAATCATCATGTGTCACAGAAAGACTTCCGGTTGAAGCAAGTTTGATGAGGGAAATGTATTCTTTAAACCTTACTGATGGTCAGTTCAAAACTGATAACATGTGACACAAATTTATTTGTCAGTGGCCCAAGGTTAAAAATGCTTTGAAAACATGCAAAGTAGATGTATGATAGATGACTAGTGGGTCTCATATTTTTAACCTGACGTGACATGACTAGTTATGTCGCCCGTTCAAATAATCTCTTCTTATGTTTGCTGTGTGGATTAGTGGATGTCATTTTTTTGACATGACCTCATGTTTTGTAAGGTCACTCTGTGTACATAAGCTCTCTCTCAGTCTTTGTAATTCAGTTGCCTCTGAAGATGTCTTAAATAAAGACGAAAAGTAAGGTCCTCCATTGTGTCCCCTTTCCCTGTGTGATTTTATCAATATATATATATATATATATATATATATATATATATATATATATATATATATATATATATATATATATATATATATATATATATATATATATATATATATATATATATATATATATATATATATATATATATATATATATATATATATATATATATATATATATATATATTCATGTAAATCCAGCATATAAAAAGTTGAAATATTTAAATCATCTTGTGTCACAGAAAGACTTCTGGTTGAAGCTAGTTTGATTAAGGAATTAAAATCAATAAACCTTAGTGATGGTCAGTTCAAAACTGATAATATGTTACATAAATTTATTTGTCAGTGGCCCAAGGTTAAAAATGCTTTGAAAACCTTTGATCTTGATGTATGACAGTTATTTTGTGGGTCCCTTTTTTCTGACCTGACCTGTCTAGTCACGTCACCACCCTTCTCTTAAGCTCCTCTACGTGTGTGTTGGTGTGGGGATTAGTGGATGTCATCATTATGACCTGACCTCATGTTTTTAAGGTCACCCTGTATATTTAAGCCTCTCTCTGTCCATGTAATCCAGTTGCCTCTGAAGATGTCTTGAATAAAGACGAAAGCTAAGGTGCTCCGTTGTTTCCCTTTTCCCGTGTGATTTTATCAAGATATATATATATATATATATATATATATATATATATATATATATATATATATATATATATATATATATATATATATATATATCTTTATTTTTTTATTTTTTTTACGGGGATTAGCCCTCCCGGGCACAGGTCACTGACCCACTTCGGGGCCTGGGGGGCGAAAATGTAATAGTAATAATAATAATGATAATAGTAATAATAGTAATAATAATAATAATAATAGTAATAATAATTCATAACAAATAAAAATTATACAGTAATAAAAATACAAAATTAAAAATAAAATAATAAAGATTAACAATAATAATAATAATAATAATAATAAAGAATCATAACGAAATACAAAAATATAAATCAAAATCAAAAGTGAGAAACAATATATGTATGTTGTGATGTCAAAGTAAGATAAACAATTGAGACCCTGCAATTGTGTGCAAGGCAGAAAGTCAGATGAGCAACCTGGGACTTGGTCACAATTTTAGTGATTCCATATGGCAGCAGGGTCTACTATTAGACAACACATTATGCTTCCAATATCTTCCCAGGCGGTAGTACCTCCCCGTTTGATAGCTGCCTACTAATTACTAACTACAGTTTATCAACGAAATTTGTCTGTTTACACATATTTGAAACAATCATATATATATATATATATATATATATATATATATATAAATATTATCACAAAGCTTGATATAGAATATGCTTGAGGACCCGACTGGTACTTGTGTATGGCTGCTGCACAACCACTGCCCCACCCCCGTTACTCGATCTCCCGACTCGATGTTCCGGACCTCGAGTCATGGATCATGGAAACATTGGATGGCCCATGGATCATGGATACATTGGATGGCCCATAGCTTGGGCTCATGGTTCGGCTCTCCGGGGCTCCGTAATTGTGTTGTTCAGATCTTGATCGGTGCATGAGAGAGGAGTGCAGAGGTTTCCGGGACTACACGAGGGTGTGGAGCTGGTGGTCACTGGTCAGTGGTCGGCGGAGCAGGTTGTGGTTGATAGCAAATTGTGTTACTCTGGCTTAGAATGTAATGTAAGTTTATAATTATTTATGTACATTTATATGTGGTAGGATTAGGGTGATTGTTAGGGTATTGTTTTATATTTATGTAACTGTTGTATGAGTGTTGCGATTGTTAATGTTTGATTGTTGCTGGTTGTTGGTGTTTCTTATCAATTTACTGTGCATTCCAACATTACGTTTGCTACTCCTCTCCTATAGTGATGTAGAATACTTGAGTAAGACTGAATAGTGCAGGAGCAATATTCTTATTCTGAAGACTCGGCTATAAAAATGAAGATGATGTCCCAATGAGTGATGATGAGCTGGTTCTGGATGATGCGCCGGCTAACAAGTTATCCTTCCCTTATATGTGCCGTATTGTG